ATTTATCTTGTCTGCATAAATACCTTTATGAATAATGCAAGAAGCTGGGATGGTAAAAGTAAAAATTACAGACCTGTCCTTAAAGGACAGGATTAACATCCTGCAGGAGCTTATTCAAAACCAACTGGTGCCTTTATTCTACAATACAAAAGTGTGCCGTTTTTGAGCTTTTTGCAAAGCCATTATAGTGGAATATTGCCAGAGCCATTAACAGTTCTGTACTAATGACAGTTAAATAACTGAGTGGGGTAAAAACAGGCAATGGAATGGTCTGTACAGGATCTCCTTTTATATGGACGCGTAAGGAGGCTTGAATGAAAAAACTGCAAAAACAGTTCCTCGGGGGTAAGAGCAGTGATGTTGTATGTTGAATTACAGCTAGAAATGGAAAATATGACACTTGGTGCAAAGGTAGTGCAGTTGCTTAGCCAAAGACTACAGAAGCAAATTAAGGTTGTGGGAAATTTTCAGTTCCCAAAGAAATACTAGATTTGCCATTTCTCACAAGCATTCAGTTTTAGACTGTGTAGCGATTAACACAGATACACAGAAAGCCCATGCAAATTTGTGAGTTGGTGAATGCGTTTTCACTGACTTCGGCGAGCATGGCTTAGTGAAGATGTGCATGCAGAGACCCAGGCTCCTCCATCCATGGCGGGATGCTGCGACGCTGCGAGAAGGCAGAGCCTGGAGCCCTGAGAGCCGTGTGCTCGCTCTGCTGCCAGGAGCATTGAGGGCAGGCAAGACCTAAAGCATGGGGACACAGCCAAAAAATGTCCACCCGTTGTTTCCTCTGGCCTATGTCATTACAGAATTTCTGAAGAGGTTTTTCTGCGCTCCTTTGAAGAAAGGTTATAATTCTCGTACTGTTTCACTCTCAGGTCAGAGGTATATGCTTTCATTTCAGCTTAACATAACTTTATGAAGAAAATGTGTATAGCGTATCCTGGTAAGCATCAGCACACAGAAATGGCGCATATGTAGCTCAAATTCTGTAACAAAACCCAAACCCAGACTTTGATAGAAAGATACTCATCCTGAGGCACGTATGCAATTATAGTGCTAGGATCTAAAGATGGAAAAGCAAAGATGAAGAAAGGAAGAAAGGTGAATTGATTCTAATTCCCTGAACTGTCCGTTATGTATAGCAACATTTTCGTATGCAGAAAAAGTCCTCAAAAAGGTGTTTTCAAAAGCCATAGTATGAGCAGATGGAAATGATCTATTAGGTGGACTAAGTAACGCCATGGTATACGATACGCCGTTTTATAAAGCTGTTATTTGCAGTTCCCTCTTGGCATTACGAGCACCTTGAATCATTCAGAATTTCTAAAACAAATCCATAATATTTTCCTATACCTGCAGAGAGGTGTTTATACATCTGCTACAAACGATGCATGAGACCACAGGAGAAGCTTACAGACCCAACTGCAGTATTTTCTCCCCTTTTGCTCTTTATGTACATCATTTTAAGCATGGGAATAAGAAACTGCAATGTATTAGACAAATGGAGAAGTTTGGTTTTCCTGTTTATACCATATTGTATTTAATGATGCGTTGCCAAAGGAGTACTAGCTTGCTGCAGAAGCAGGGGAAGGGTGGCATTCTCCTCCCCGCACCATCAGCACACACACGTGCAGGAGAAGGCTGGGCCAGGGGAGCAAGGAGGAGTGCCGAGTTTAACCCGAAGAGGAGCGGGGCACCTGCTGGAAGCTGGAAATGGCTCTGGCAGAGGAGAGGTGGTGACAGAGAGAAGGGCTTGAAGGATTTTTCTTTTTTTTTTTTTTTTTTTTTTTTTTTTTTTTTTTTTTTTTTTTTTTTTTTTTTTTTTTTTTTTTTTTTTTTTTTTTTTTTTTTTTTTTTTTTTTTTTTTTTTTTTTTTTTTTTTTTTTTTTTTTTTTTTTTTTTTTTTTTTTTTTTTTTTTTTTTTTTTTTTTTTTTTTTTTTTTTTTTTTTTTTTTTTTTTTTTTTTTTTTTTTTTTTTTTTTTTTTTTTTTTTTTTTTTTTTTTTTTTTTTTTTTTTTTTTTTTTTTTTTTTTTTTTTTTTTTTTTTTTTTTTTTTTTTTTTTTTTTTTTTTTTTTTTTTTTTTTTTTTTTTTTTTTTTTTTTTTTTTTTTTTTTTTTTTTTTTTTTTTTTTTTTTTTTTTTTTTTTTTTTTTTTTTTTTTTTTTTTTTTTTTTTTTTTTTTTTTTTTTTTTTTTTTTTTTTTTTTTTTTTTTTTTTTTTTTTTTTTTTTTTTTTTTTTTTTTTTTTTTTTTTTTTTTTTTTTTTTTTTTTTTTTTTTTTTTTTTTTTTTTTTTTTTTTTTTTTTTTTTTTTTTTTTTTTTTTTTTTTTTTTTTTTTTTTTTTTTTTTTTTTTTTTTTTTTTTTTTTTTTTTTTTTTTTTTTTTTTTTTTTTTTTTTTTTTTTTTTTTTTTTTTTTTTTTTTTTTTTTTTTTTTTTTTTTTTTTTTTTTTTTTTTTTTTTTTTTTTTTTTTTTTTTTTTTTTTTTTTTTTTTTTTTTTTTTTTTTTTTTTTTTTTTTTTTTTTTTTTTTTTTTTTTTTTTTTTTTTCCTTCAGTAGTTGCTTCTGCATCAATGGTGTCTTTTGTGGCAGATTTTCCCAAAGCAGCCAGCCCGGGGCCTCCTTTTCCCTTGCCCTCTGCCCCGGCACGGGTAGGGCAGTGCTGACTAACTCCACTGGTTTAAGAAGATCAAGGAAGTAAAAACAGCTGAAAGTGATTCCTTTTTTCCCCAGCTCTGCTGGTTTGAGAAATTGGTTAGTGTGTCCCTAAAGATCTATAGACAGGCGTGGTACTGCTATGAGAAAGCCATCTAGTCTTGAAGTAGTTCTACGTATTATTTTACTTTCTGATATAATCTAGGGGGGCTTGTACACTGACGCTCCTCTTCCATTAAGTCAATTGCTGCTTGGTTTTGGCATCCTGGCAGACAAGCTTTCAGAAAAGTAATCTCCCAGTCAATTAGTATCCTACACCACGAGCCTAAATCAAATACACTTTCAAAAAGGCTCAAGTTTAGAAATGAACTTTAGGAAAACTCTATTGATTTTGTAAATTAAAAATGTAAAATTGAATGGCTAGAGGTCCAGTACAGGACTGACCCGAGGAAGCAATCTTTAAACAGGAACATTCTCCAATGCAACACTGGGGAAGAGAAGCAAGCAAGAAAAATTCATTTGCGGTTGACCTGCAATAGCAAAGTCATTCACTTTCCAAATAGGATTAAACTTGTTCCATCAGCCATGACATGTGAAAAGATCATGGTTATAAATTCCATTTGCTGTAATGAATTGAATGTGTCTGAGTTTGCAAGCAGCACTCATCGTTGATGGACAGCTAGATTTGTGCACTGTTTTAACACTAAAATTAGCTTCTACAAAATAAAAAGTACTGAAAAGGTGGCAGCAGTGACAGATTTTAAAGCATAAAAAAATTGACTTTATTGTTAGGTGGAAGCTGAATAAAGCTAGAAATAAATAGTGGTTATAACCCTGTTATGTAGATAACTTGCTTCATTCTTGGGTGAGGGTGAACACAAAACTGGAAAAAGGTATTTGTTTAGGTTTCTTAGCCATATTTCAACAAGAATAAATATTGTTACTTAAATGAGGAAAAATTGAACATTTCTATGGTATTACTTGTAAGATGTAAGAACGTGGAATTGTAGTGAAGGATACAAATTTGAATCAAATTTCAGTGTACGTCAACATGACTCCACTGCAGTCCATGAAACCATATTGGTGTATGTGTTTTGTAAATTGTCTTGCATTTTACAAATGCCAGTCTTGCATCAGGATCACGAGACATCTGTACTTTGATGCTTGCAGAACTAAATGCAGTCTCAGAACCTGTTTTCCCAAAAGTGTTTGGTGTACACAATTTTGTGCATATTTTAAATGTGCCGATTGCCCAGGAAAAGATCTCAGTGGATGAAAATGGCTAATATTTGCCGTTAATATGGGATTCATTTTAATTGAAAAGGTACCCTGAAAACTGTCCAAGATTAAAAAAAAAAAAATAGCTTGAGCTAAACAGAGAAATAAGAATATAATAGCTTCTTAAATTACCGCAAGGTTAACATATAATTAATTTGCTAATTTTAATTACAACGCTACAAAATGTGCTGAAAAATGCTCAGAGGGGAGAAGCAGGCAGGTGCCAGCCGTGATTAACCAAGGTTATGAGGTCTCTATTAACGATGTTGCGGAAATTTTTAAAACTCCTTTATAAAAACAGCACATGTACTGAAACTCAGCAGGGTTTTCATCTTGCTGTCCCTTTCCATTGCTACAGACTTGCTGTCATTTGCCTCGCTCTTTTCCAGCTAAATGTTTTATTGCAGCTGAAACATGGACTGCTGCTTCGGTTTGTCACACACCGTTATTCGTATACTAGGTATTTATTTTGATCATGTAAACGAAAGAGATTAATTATTGTTTGCAAAGTACTCTGAGCACCTTAAGTGCCGGATAGCTGCCAATATCGCAGCTGAATGCTGGGAGCACAAATCCTGAAGAAAATGCTTTTTCTTTCCAAGGTGTCCTGGGACATGCTGTTTGTAAAGCAGGAATATTGCTGAAACTGCCCGTTCGGGGGAGAACCTGCTCTGCAGTGCTTCGTATGCACAGCCAAGCGTCACTTCTGAGTTAAAAACAAAGAACAAAATCTCTGCATGTTTGCTTTGCATTTTAAACAAAACCTGGTGTGAATGAATGTCTTGTATGTATCAAAATCCACAATGTATTATTGTTCTTTTTTATTGTTGTTGATAAGCGTGTGTTGTTTGGAAAGGTAATAGACCTTGATCCATCAATTAAAGGAAGACTTTTAAAAAAACAAAACCAAAGAAACCCCAAACAACGACGTTAAAAAACCCCCAAACAACAACAACAACAACAACAACAACAAAAAAACCATCACGAAAAAACCCAAGAAACTTAAAGCATTGGTGTCAAAGGCAATTAATTTCCTGGCTGGCTTGTGTTTTTCTCCGAGGCAGATATTGATGAGTGTGCAGAGGGGATCATTGAGTGTCACAACCATTCACGCTGTGTTAACCTCCCAGGGTGGTACCGCTGTGAGTGCAGAAGCGGTTTCCATGACAATGGAAGCTCTTCTCTTTCCGGGGAGTCCTGTGTTGGTAAGCAATGATCAGCATAGCGCTTTTTTTCCTCCTCCTGCATGGTGTTATAAAGTGACTGTTGAGACACTGTCCTGAGCAGTTACTGCGTTTTAGGCTCGAGTGAGAACGCAAGCGAGCGTCTCTGTGTGTGACGGCATCCCCGGACGCGCAAGGTGGGTGCCAGCTCAAGGCGCGTCACGTTTTGGATGGTTATTACAGGAGGGAGCCAGTCGGAGATCCAAAGTGTGACTTACTCGCTTTGCCATTTATCGTCATAAGCAGCTGTAAAACCTGAAGTGCAAGCAGGCTTTCTGGGGAGCATAACAGGCCACAAAAGGGGAAGAGTTGGTTTCCCATTTTCAAATTTCAGCAGAGCGATATGAAAATACACTTGGGGTATGTCTGTGTTCCTTTGATTTGTTTGTTTTCCATTGTTTGGCTTCTTCATAATTTTATTTTTAGAATTAGGCAAATAGCATCAAGCTCTTTATGCACCGTACCTACAGAGTACGGCCCTAAGAACGGAGAGGAATTTTTAAAGGGTGCGGAGGAGTTTGTCGGTTATTTCTATGGGAGGACGAAGGGCGAGGCTCCGTCAGGATTTAGTGATGGTTCTTGCGGTTTGGGTGGCCTTGACTGGATGCAAGACTTTGTGTGCCACTACAGCAAGTAATAGAATCATAGTGAAGATGGTAACTGTGGCTTATCTCTGCTTTATGATTTTTTCACCTTTTCACGTATTCTTAGAAGCCTTGTACATAATTTCTAGAGGATATTTTATCAAATGAGTTTAAAACCGTTTGGAAAGGATCCCATTTTAGCTTCTGTAGAGATACAAGTCAACATCTCATATAGTTCTGTGTCCTTTCTTTGGAATTTCAGTTACTTCATCTCTACTCAGTTCTATGCACTTTGTATAAAAGCTTTTCTTCTGCTTATGTGAAAGATTTTTTTTTAACACTGTAAATTTCATTTATCATGTCCATAAGCACGAAGGGCTCTTTTAAGATTTAAAGTATACAATTAAAGTAAAAGTTAAAATAAAAACTTGTAATAAAAATATATAAATTTACTTGTAACAAACATTCACATCTTTTACAAATTTTGGCTATTAGAAGTCCTTGGGATAAGAGAGCATCATGATTTAAAAATGCAGAGGAGCAATAATTATTTTCAAAACCATTATTTTGTAGATTGTCCAGCTATATTAGCTTTTTACACCTTGTCCTAAGCTGACAGGTGAGCTCAATAAAATCACAGCGGTGAACTTCATTGTGGTGGCTGCGTAAAATATGGCAAATTTTGCAACATTTTGTGACTTAATAAAATAAAACACCACGTGAAAGTCATACATTTCTATATATGTCTCTATTCAAATGTTAAGAGTTGTCCTCTGGCTTATTTAAACACTGTAAAAGGAATGATGGACAGAGCAATGTTGGAAATTTTTGCCTTATGAGAAGTCAAAGCAACATGACATCACCTTCAAAAAGCCCCCGGGCAAGTGGAGATAAGGGGCATTTGTGGCGCTCCTGACGCCGACCTGCTCTGCTTGCGTGGGCATCCCCGTCCCTGTCAGGCTGACCCTACGCCGCTGGTTTGGGACGGAGAAGATCTAAGGCTCAGGGTGGTCTCAGGAAAAGACAGACACTTAGACAAGACTGCGCTTTTGAGTGGCCCGTAGGTGGGCTCAGTTGCTGAAAAGGGCGGCATCGCTTGCGTTGCGTTGCTGTTGAAGGGAAGGGCGCTTGGCTACCTCACAGCAAAAAGGAGCCCAAAATGTTCTGTATTCTGTGAAGACTGAAGGGATGAGTTTTTGTGAAAACAAACTGCCCTCGTTTTGACCTGCACAGCATGCTGGAGGTTCGTAAGGTGAGGTGCTCATCTTGCCGTATGCAAGTTGTAAACGGAATGGGAAATTAGCAGGGTTATTTTAACGAAATAGCTTTTTTGAACCATCTGCTGAAGGGTACCAGTGAGAGAGAGAATAAACCAGGTTATTTTATTTCATTATACTGGCTAACCAATGAAAAATGAATTGAAAGATGCTGCTAAACCACATTGACCAATTTCAAACCATGATGTTATTTTAAAGTGCAACTAAGAATTGGTTAAAATGACAGATAGATAACATTACACCTTCTAGCTAAAACTCTGTTTCTTGAGCACTGACTTTCATCACGTTACAGAGCTTGTTTGCATGGTGAAGTATTTAGAGTCAGGGCCAGTGTCATTCACTCTATTTCAGAGAAAAGAAGGTTCATCTGCTTAGCAACAGCAGTAGTTTTCTCCTGCTATATGTTACAGACTGTGTACCGAAATCCTAGCGTGTACCTGAGGTGGATTTGGGCCATTGCCCTTCAGTATATTTTGAAATGTTTCTTCTTCCTCCGTGAAGGACAAAACTTGGAGAACAATAAATGGGCTAAGAACATAAGCAGAAAAAGGTTAAACCCTCCTCCACATAATAGTAGCAGTAGTAGTAATAATAATAATAATAATAATAATAATAACAATAACGATAATAATAATAAATGCTGCAGCGGGAGGGAGCACTCAGCTCTGACAGATTGCCCAAAGCCCAAGCAGCCGGTTGCTTTTGCTGGATGCATTTCTGTATCTCTTGGGTAACCCCCTTTCCCTCCATTTTATGTAGGTGGTCTTGGAGCGGAGTCATTGCTTGCAGTGCCTCTGCAGTGCTTGCAGAACGTTTGAAAAAATAACACCTGGTATGTAGGGCAGTGTTGTGATACCTCAGTGCTTTGAAAAGCTTTATTCTTGTTGACTAAGAGAAAACAGTGGAGTTTGTTACCTGGCAAGGGACAAATGTGTAAATCAATGGATGTGGCGGGGGAGGGGCTAATAATGTACCCCAAATGTGTAAATCAATGGATGTGGCGGGGAAGGTCATAATATTGCACCAGAGTGTAGGTAACAAGGACGTATGACTTAGCCAGGCGACTCTAAGCTTGGGAACTTTTTTTTTCTCAAAATATCAACCAAAGGCAGCTTTGAAAGAGGAATATATTTCCATGGCCATGCTTTTATAAAAGAGGTCAGCTTCATAAGATGATGGTGAGCAGGCTCAAATTAAGAGAAGGTAATTTAATTTCCAGCAGTAGTGTTTTTATGAGGTACTGGCCTTTCACAATATGTTATTAAGGATACTGCTTGCAGACAAAAGGCAATTGCTATACTAAGTTGCTACCAAAGTTTGCTTGGCAATTAAAACATGTAGGCTATACTTGCTGGGTGGGTTTTTTTTTTTTTTCCTTTTTTAATAGGAGCTTTGCTATGCTTTAAGATCAACAGGCAAAATATAGAGAACTGTGAGCTGTCATGTGATACAAATCCTAGTATTAACTGCTATTTACTCATGCCATATTGAAGCAACTGGCATACGTTGTTTTTTCCCCTGCAAAGTGCCTGTTGCCAAATTCTGCTACCTCATAAGGTAAATCATTGCATAAACCCTCAACCACTGAATTTTCAGTGATAGCCTTTAAGATTATCGGAACCAAAGGAAGGCAAAGAAATGCTGTATCATGTCCCACAAAGCTCGCTCCTATCTACAGCAGAAAAATAAAAGCAAATTAAATTACACTTTTTAATCTCTGTCTCTCTCTGAGGTGCTTGCAGTCTGTAGAGAGCTGTTCAGACTCTGGAGTACAGAATTCCTGTTTCCATTTTTTCATGATGTTTCATGTTTCTGAGTCTCTACATTGTGACGTGCAAGAACAGAAGGAAGAACAACCAAGGCAGCAGTCCCTGTCAGTTGTTGGTTATTTTTTCTTTTCTTGAAGGATCAGTGCAAATTTGGTAGGGAAGCTTAACACGGAACCGCCTCCCACCAAAACCCCACAGGTTTCACCTTGTATTTTGTTCTAAAGGTTGCGTAGCTAGACCTCACTGCAGGGTTAGAGTAGCTGTGGGGAAATGAAAGCTGGAAAAAGGTGGGAGTCAGCAGCTTGTGAGAGAAACCTCACATCTCTTAGTCTCCCACAAAAGTTGGGTGCAGCAATGCTTGAGGGTCAAGTCTGAATGGGTTTAAAATCAATTCCTGAAGCATTCGTACCCTCCGTAGCGTGCTGTGCTGTCGTCTGTTACCTAGACTAGAAAGTAAGAGAAAAGGAGGTTTGTTCTTTGTTTATTTTGCCCCCTTTCTGTGTCAAACAAAAAGCTAGACCCACGCTTTGAAATTTTTCCTGTATGCCTTTAGATAGAATTGCTTTTCTATCTATTGTTAGAGAAGTAGCACGTAGACAGAAAGGTTTACCTATGGTACAGAGTATCCAAGACTATCTCTAGAACTTGCTGTTTTACGACTTTATTCTGCTCATAGAATTTCTTAAAGCTTGTAATATCAGAGTCTGTGTCTGTGGGTTTTATTCTGCAAAATAAAAATTACCTTGCTTGCTTTCCATTTAGTAAATTCTGATCTTTTTTTCTACTCTGAGAGAAAGTTGTGTTACGTGTCTTCAAGGTAATTGTGTTTAGTCATTTCTATATTTCTAGAAAGCATTAGTAAATCCTATATTCAGAATCTCATTTACTATGCAGTGTTCTTTAATAGACCATTATGTCTCTATAAAAGTACTATCATAAAATATTTTCTAACTAAAAATGAATCTGTTTAGTGTTTTGTTTTTTTTTTAAAAAAAGATGAGTCCAAATCACTTTGATTTAAAAAGAAGGCAAATACATTAAGTGGCAAGTTGCCTGTGAAAAATGATATGTCAAAACAGTGTTTAGTTAACTTGTACATACATTGGTTCGGGAGCCCAGCGTACATTTTTCACGTTAACATTATACTGTAATGGTTTAATGTACCATAACAGTTAAAATTAGCACATTAGTAGGGTTCTTTCTTCTGCAACAGCTTATCATGATATTACAGAATACCACACTGCATGACTTGCTTGCACACATTTATTAAGGTGCGATAGAAAAGTCATACCATTAAAACCTGAATAGCCTTGAAAACTAAGAACTGGAGTAGCTAGGGATTGGTTTAAAATTTCAGTGAAACCAAGTTAATGAACTTGTGTTGATATGTACAGTCATGCTTGTCTTCTAGCCCATTCAAATACAGTGGCCATGGGACCTCTTATAATATCTGAGGCAAATTACTTCTTGTTACAGCCAAAAAGGATGGAAAGGGAAATTGCATCTCAGGGGATTGTTGTATTTCATTTTGATTCTGAATTCTTGTCTGCCTGTGTTACCAAGCTATCTTTATGTACTTTGTGAGTATATTGGGAGATGAGTGTATCTTGGGTGGTTTGTTTTCTTTCTTTTCCCATCCACAGAAGGTGACTGGTTGCATTGCGGCTCATAGACGTATGATCAGGTGCTTGTTACAGTACGTTTGTTTAAAGAAGCACAGATTGGGAGTGTTTGAAGAGTGGAGATCTTGATCAGTTTTATGATAGTCTTGTGCAGTGTTTGAGGTGGCATGTCTCGGGAACAGCCTCTTTGCTCTTGACAATATGTTGTTGATAGAAAATAGCATAAGGCTAGCATTACAAGAAAGTTTCTGATTATGGTCATTTCCACCGTATCCTCACTTTTCCTTGAAAAGGAACTGTGTGGAGCGGGGGAAGTAAAGCTCTGTCTCTTTTACTTGGATTGATTAGTAGTTCCTGCCACAGATTATCTCAATATAACGAATAAGATTGCAAAGTCCTATTCCAGACGTGGAAATAAGGTGGTTTTCACAGGCTGACAGGATATAGGAAAGAACTCGCCCCAAAAGTCAAGACAGACATCTTGTTCTTGTGTTATCCATAGGGATAGACTATGGTGTCTCCTTGGTATTTTACGTACATACTTGTCCATTGTTTTTCAAAGTTACTTGATACATAAATTAATATTTCATCTTCGTCCTACCTTGTGTTCTTATAATGGGAAATAAGATTTCTGTACGGTTTTGCCTTGCCCATCATTAAATGTTCCAGTTTTGGGCCCACATCTGAGAGCAGTTGTGGGAAAGCAAACGAAACCTGATGGGAGTGTGGGGACTTCGAGCTGAGCAAGGATTTGAATAATATAAAAATAATCTATATGCAAGAATCTTATCATACAATTTTCATATTCATTAGAAGATTGTTTTGAACATGTTCAGAATTTTAAACTAGGCTCATTTTTCAACACCAAAGTAGACACACTGGTCTCCCTTGTTAAGAGAAATTTCACACTAAATATGAGTACTTTCGTCCATGTTTTGCATAGCCATCTACATGCTGATCTCATGTCAATATGAGCAATTCCATTTGATCTCCATTAAACTGAAATACTTAAGCTAACTGGGAGCTAACAATATGGGAGCATTTGCCGGGGATTTTTTTTTTTTTTTTTTTTTTCCTTTCTCCCTTGCCCAATTTGGTTTGAGGCCGAAAAAGTGAAAGGAAAAAAAACATGTTAATTTTATAACTTTTTTTCCTCAAGTTACTGGGAACATTGGCTGTTTGTTCTGACTTTTGGAAACGCAATCAGCATCAAGAAAAAACTGCCAAAGGGATGTTTTGAGAAAATTACGTCTATTAAAAGTTCAGCTGTAAATGAGTGCAGTGTCCAAGCCTTTTATATTTGATGTATGACTAAAACTTTTAAATAATAAATGCCATAAAATAAGAAGAAACCATAATTTGCATAAAGAACAAAAAAAAACGAGCAAACTGAGTAGCAATTAGGAATTTATGTTCACGCTATGTTACTCAGCTTTGCTCGATTGGTTTCTTTGTCACAAATGTTCCATTTACCAGTTTGGGCCACTCTTAATGGGGGCATCCTTTTTATGCACGCTAAACGGAGAACAGCAGTAGCTGTTAAATAAATAGGGTGTTCTTCCCTTTTGGATGTGTATAACTGATTAAGTTGGCTTTGTGCAGTGTGAACAGGTCTGTACTACTGAGAATATGAATAATGTTAGTTTCTATAATTGCTAACATTTGGCTTTCCATAAATCTGTTAAATTACATGGAAACAGAATTAGATTTCTGTGTCATAAGTAAAGCAATTACATGGAACTCTGTAGGCAATATGGCTTCATATTCATCTGTGAAATCCTTTTAGTTTTGAAATGTGAAAGCTACCCTTCTAATCTGCACTGTGATCCTGCTACATCCTATATATATGCTATTCAAGGAGCCCTTAACATGGTGGGGAAGAGAATATTGACGATGCTTGGTGAAATCACCAAAGACAAAGTGAATGCTTCATTTATGCCTTTGTCTTCAATATAAAATACAAGTCAAAGCCTATTGAAAGGAAAATGGGATATTTTAAAGAATATTTTAAGTCTTACAGTAGCTGTTCGGCTATATTTCATTTCATTCCAGTTCATTCATAGCCCTCTTCATGTCACTCTTCGTGGCTTTTACATCTTGCGATACTCTGGCAGTTGTTAAACAATGAACTACCAGTTTTAATTTCTCTTAGTGCAGCACCTTTTACACCACTGCTAGTGGACCTTTCAAGTACACAGTAGTGCTAAGCTATGCATTAGTGCATTAATGTTCTTTTTTTGGCAATTAAGACTGTCAGGGCAGCAAAATACACCATTTTTAGGGAAATCTGAGTGATGAGTGGTTGAATTGTGCTATCACGCCTCTGGGACCATCTCGGACAAAGGACTGGCCCGCAGGTTAGCCCAGGAGTGAAGCCCCTTCTGCAGTGTAATTGCCTCCAGCTTCCCTTTGGGTCTATAGGCAGGTTGTGCAGGTTGATTTTGCCTTTGGTCAAATCCAAGGGCACTAATACATTTCCACTTGTTCCTGGGCTATTTATGAATTGAAATCAGGAGTTTTATTAACGAGGTCGGAGGGAATTTAGTGATTTGATTCTTACAGAGATTTTCCTTCAGTAGAGTGAGAGAATTGTTAAAGTCGTCTTAAGTTCTGGCTTTCTGAGGACATGACTCATGAACCCATGGTACTTGCCCAAAAAGTAGGGCCATCTCATCCCACCTAAATTAGACTTTAGGTAATTTTTCTTTGTAAATTTCATTGAATTTTAAAATTTGTTGATTTAAAGAGGATTTAAAAGTGCTCTTGGGTAATATTGAACGGTTATAAATTTCATGCTAGCAATAAGGTAATTTTAAATAGTAAAGGTGAGGGTTCTTCCTTGTAATTTCTGAATTCATATGATAGTATCGCGGAATTTTCTCGATAGAAACCAACACATACTTCTAAAGGATTTTCTTCTTCAGCCTTCCTCCCACTGTTGCCTCCAGTTTTCACTGTTCGTGTTGGAACAAAACAGACCCACCAGTTTACTGGTATTTTATCTGGACAATCTATCAATATATTGTTTAAGAACAGTCCAAAGTTATTTTCTGAAATAAATACCTGTTTTTAACAATGTGCTTAAAAATCTCATGGCTTTTGCTGCGAGAAAAAGAACACTGCATTAAATCCCTAGATAAATTCATATTGCATAATTATATTTTACCCTCCAAAAGCAATTTTAATGGAATGCTGTAATTCACTTTTCACTACCGTATAATGGTTTTCTTTTGTTACTTACTTCTTTGTGTCATTGCTAAATCATACTTTTCCTGCATAGCTTTGTTTAAGACTGTTTTTCTTGTATAAGGTGCCTCTATTTATTTATTTATTTCCTTATTTTATTTTATTTTATTCATTTTTACCTTCCAGCAATGGGAAAAGGATGCAATTGACTGCTTTTAGTATAGGAAATGTTGACTATGCTAGGAACTTAAGAAGAATAGTGCACTTCTATTTTGGTGTAAAATCCAGAACAGAGAGTGGTCTCGTTGACAGAAAGTCACTCTGATTGTTCACTAGTTTCCAGTTACTGGAAAATGACTACACACCCTTGTCTGAAGCTTCTAGTTCATCATTGATATACAGTTCCAGGCTCAGCTTTTATAATTAAGCCTGCTGGAGATAGTTTAAGAAGTTTTGATGGAATCAAAAAAAACCACTGAAGAATAACCTAAAAGCATCAGTGTTTAATATCTAGCAAGTAAATATGGAAGATATCAGAAAGAAGGCACCCTCTTCCACCAGCAAGGCAGATGAGCAATAATTACTTAATACAGAAATAAAATTTGCCCTGTGGTAAAAAATGTCCAAAGCATTATAAATCTGCTGTTTTGCAGATATCGATGAGTGTGCCTTAAAGACCCACACCTGTTGGAACGATTCAGCCTGTGTGAACCTGGCAGGAGGGTTTGATTGCCTTTGTCCATCCGGACCATCTTGCACTGGAGACTGTCCCCATGAAGGCGGCTTCAAGCGGAACGGGCAGGTGTGGACCCTGAGGGAGGACAGATGCTCCGTTTGTTCCTGCAAGGTGAGATCCAGCTGGTCTGGCTTTCAAGAATCCTTTAATTTTCTGGGCTCACGTCAGAAACCCAATAGTTTGCAGTGCCACCTGTGTTGGCGAAAGTACTAACCTAAGCCCAAGGCGGTGAGGCAAAAGGTAAGCTATGCTGTGGGCACTGGAGCTGTGATGGGGAAATTCTTCTGGGAAGTCATCTTTTTTTCTTATTTTGCACAACCACAGGCACAGCTGAATAATGGCTAACCCTGCTGAGCTCCTACCATGTCATCCTGTGGGCCAGAGCCACTTGGAGCATGCCTTGATGAGGGTCTTGCATTACTCTATAACACAACGTGCAGACGATCGACATGCTTACTGGAAATGTTGAAAACTGTTTTCCATTTCTGTTCCACATGAATATGCATCTCTTGGGACAAGTACTCTAGTCAGCCATCTTCCTGTTGGTGGTGGTTCCCTTTGCTTGGAATCCATGTGAATTAACTGGGTGAGAAGGAAGGCCTGATCATGAGTCAAAGGTGGTTAGAGGACCTGGCAGCAGGCACTTGATTTCCTCAAGCGAAGAAGGGTGAAGGCCAGCTTTCTCCTCCTCATCCCATCTTGGCTGTGTTGGCAACGCTTCAGCTTGAGCAGTGCAGGGCGCTCTGCACCTTTGGAGAAGCCAGGCATATAGTATAAGTAGATCTACTTTAGGGTTGACGCTTAGATTGGTTTTTTGGGTTTCTTTCCCCCATGGAAATTATCAGTTCCTTTCTGTGTGTGGTAACAAAGTTAAAAGAACTTTTGACTCTGCTTTCTTCATTTTCACTAGTTAAAAGAGGAGTGCTGTCATGGAAATTAGAAGAATTTCAGAAATTTGAGAAAAATGGTTGGTCTTTTATGGGCGCTTTGACCTGACGCGTTCATAGCACTGATGAAGCTGTCCTTAGACACAGCAGAACCCTACTGGCCCTTGCATAAGCGTAAGTTAAAATGAGATTTTGGCCACTGTGAAAAGGTGAACACAGAGCATGAGGATTGGCCTGTCAATCCCCATGTCTCAATGCTTATGAGCTAGAGAAGCATTAAAGGGTTTTGGGGGGGCGCAAAGGGGAAGAGTTATTTTGAAGTTGCAAGAAGCTGAAAGCCTTGTCATTTTTGTATTGCAACAGTATAGCAGAAGGGAAAATCAAGACTTCAGAGTGAATAGAACCCCCAAATTACACTGCTCTTTTGGGTTCAGAAGGGCTTAGAAGGGAATATGTTCTCGCTAGTTGCTATATTTTTTTACTTCAAGTAGCCTCAAGCTCCCTAAAACTCCTCCCTTCAGAAGCTGAAGTGTACAAGTCCACTGAATATATATCAAGCTTTTATTGTAGTCTTGGGGAACTGGCTGGCTTATGAAAGGATTTCCAGTCAATAGAATAAACAGTTTAATATATGTGAAGACATCTGGTCTGCCTTTGCAGAATTATAACTATTAGTATTCCCATTTTAGAGTGCTTGTAATTTGCTTTATTTTCCGTTTCTCTTTGCACTTATTTCTTATGTTGAATGTTCTTATTAGTATATGAAAATATACAAAGTGATTGACTAGTACATAGATATTTATAACTAAGCTTGGCACTGTTTGTTGCTATGACTCTTAGTTTATATCTTCCTCACTTTCCAGTTTTTTTCCTCTGTGAATTAACATTTGCATTTAATTTCATTGCAGTAGCTGCCTTGTTTCAAGAGCCAAATTCTTGCCTATAGAACATGGAGAACTCCTCCTCTATCATATCCCAGGCAGGACGTAAAGTCTTCCCTCAGTGTTTGTTGAAACATTTTTATAAATTGTGATAGCTTCCAGTACACCAGGCCACTTCTCAAACCTGCTGCAGCATCCGATCCTTTTTGTGCAGTTGCACAAAAGAGAGCTGCCCCTGCTTGACCTTTTTGCAGCCTGCTCAGTTTTCAGCGAGGAGAAGGGCAGAGTGTAACTAAATCATTCCGTATACTTCTTACTCGAACTTTGAAATGATTCTACTCACTTGTTTTGTCCAGGAGACAAATCAGCGTTTCAGATTTAAAATACGTTTTCTTTTGGCTTTTCTTTCATTATGGTTATTTTAGGAAAGGTCAGATGGGTATATTTTGTGCAGTGTCCAAAACATTTTGAAAATATTTTAACTTAAAATCTGGTGCAAAGGAATTTAAATACCTTACTTAACTTAGAAGTTCATTAAATAAAGTTATTTGTGGCATAGGATACTATGGAATATGAGAAATCATATTACTTCAGTTCTATAATGAAGCAAAGTGTCATTATTGAAGCACAGGGGATTATTTCAGTGTTTCATCAGACCCGGTCTCTTCAAACCATCCTCGTTCATCTGAATGAATCTAAAGTTTACAAAAACATAAATTCTCAAAACTATAAATTAATATAGTACCTTAAGTATATTTGATGTGTCTTCCACAGGCAGCGTCCTGGACTCTTGTGGATTTAATACACAAGACTAGTAGAAATTTGATGGCGGTGAGGAGCTGTTTCTCCTCTGAAAAAACTAAGCCTGGTTGTGCAGTCTGGCTATACCTGGGCTTTTTTGAGTCTACCCTTTAATTAAGACAGCCCCCCCATTACCTGTACGAAAAAACCCTGAGGGATAAGCACAGCGCTGGGAACAGGGGGATGAGCCATGGTGAAGCATGCCTCGAAGGGTGAAAATGATTTGGTTTCTGCAGGGTCTGATTTCTGTCCAAATTGGCTTTGGGGCTCTGTGGAAACTTGAGTCACTCTTCACAGCGATTCCCTTGTGTCACTTTTTCCTTTGGTAAGAACAGTTTTGTGTTCGTACCACTGATGCGTATGAAGCACATAGAACTGATTCAGCAAGGAGGGTGGGGAGGGAGAGGTACTAATAGGATGCTATATGTTATCACCCACCAAAAGAAAATAAGTTTCTCAATTTTCTGTGTATTTCTCAATGCTACTATAGACCTGCAAAGACGCAGGTGAGATGTTGTAGCTTCAGAGGCTTTGTGTCACTGCTGTATAGGGATAAAAATGTTTTCTGAAAGGCATGGAACTAATGACATTGTAGATAAAACACAGATTCTTAAAGAATAAAGAGAGTAGCAGTGTATTGTGATTACCAAAAGGTCTCTGGCAAAATCATCAGGCTTTGTCAGTGTTCTGAAATACAGAGAGTAAAGGCAATGTAAAAGGTTAGCTGCTCCCCAGAGGTAACAGCACAGGAGCTCAGAGACGCACAGAACGACCAACGCTGTTGCCAGTTGAAAGGGGAATTTGAAAACTAATCTTGAAAGCTTGGAAACTGAATTGGAGCTAAGCAGACAGGTTATTGTTAGCCATTATTAATCAGCACTCCGTAATGGAGAGGAGAGGGACTGCCATTGTCAAAGACGTCAGGTTGCCTGGATGCTTTGTGCCACCCCACGTGCCTGGAGCCAGTCATCCTGGCAGGGCTTTTGTGCTGAGCTGCCGCTTGCTGTCTGTCCTCAGCAAGGGGTGGGAGATGGTTGTGCTTTCCCACCTGCAAGAATGGGCATTTAGTCATAACTCTCCATCAGGGAAGTCTTTCCGTTCTCTTCTTTCTCTGCTTGCTGGAAGGGGAGGATGACTTCTTTTTTTTTTTTTTGCGGGAAAAGGTTTATTCCCAACATTGCATCTGGGACTGGCCAGACCTGTGGCTAAGGAAATGGGCCACTGCCAGTCTTCCTTAGGTTACGATTTACTCGAACTGCCAAGTAAGGAAATAAAGTTTGTTTATTCCTTCTCCCACAGCTAAAGCAGCAAACTAGCCACAAGTACTGAACCCTTAGTTTTCTTAATTTGATACAAAACTAAATAAAGACTGTAGGGCAATACAGTTCTATGCCCTGTGGTTGGCAAAAGCAGATCAGATCCATAATAACCTGGCATGTTTTCTACATTTCCATAATTCTGTGTTCTCTTCAGCTTTCCTTGTTAGGCATAAGAAATAATTGTAATTATTCTTACAACAGAAAGAGATATTATAACCAATTCAAAACCGCAATGAAATTAATCAGTGACACTGACTGACACAGGTATCATGATTCCCTGATCCTGATTTTGTATATGTTGCATTGTGGCCAAGATTGGCTTTGCTTAAAAACAAGAGCCAACACGCATTCCTACATCAAAATACAAACAAAACAACCTCCCATGGTACATGCTGTGGTTATGGCTATTTCATCTGCCTGTGGCAAAGACATCCTGGGCTGCTGTCACTCTTTTTAGTAATCACCTTTTAAAAGGATCAAGAGGAAATAAATTCCCTTGCTTTGATAGGTATCCCTTTATTGGGTGGCAAGGAAAAGAAGTTTTCCTTACGTCAGATACAGGTTTATAGCCTCAGAGCAAGGTTCTGAAAAGAATATGGAAAAACTGCAATGAAAGGAGCGGATTTGTTTTAGGAATTGTACAGTTGTGATCCAAAGCAGAACATAGCTTCATTCCTCTCACAGCTCTGCCTTCAAATTGACTGCAGGTGACACTTTGCCTGAATAAGGACTAATCCAATAACTAGTATTAAATGCAAAAGAAGTTCATGTCAAAACTTGTCAATAATCTGCTCATTGTTAACTCTGATTTCAGTTCTCAGTCTACATGTGGCATATCAGTATATTGGCTAAGGGATATAATTTCAAACACTGTAGTCTGTCCAGTTCTCATAACTGAATTAGAATCGTGTTCTCTTTACACGCAGAAGCAATTCTGTTTCTCTCAAACAGTTCTGTTTAATGGTCTTTAACAAAAGGGCCATCCAATACTATAAGCAAATATTTAGCAAAATTGTATTTTGGAGAGCCTGTGGAGTACAGGGCCTCTTTAATACATGAACAGAATTATAATGGATGATGATAAGTCCATTTAGCTTTAAGCTGGTGTACTGTAGGTCCAGATGTGGAACAGAACCAGTGGTGAATTCAGAGGGAAGGATGATTAGTGGCACCGTGATTTTGCTATATTGTGCTCCTATGAAGTTAGAGGCACCACCTCCATAACTTCTATTTATTTCTTTATTTTCTTCATGGTGATACAGTCAGTCAAAATAGTGTTAAACAAATATTGTATGTATTAAAGTGGCAACTACTTGAAGAATTTGTTGATGTAACCAATGAGATATGAAAATACTTTACTATATTTCTTCTGAGATACTGATTTCTTTTAAATTCAATTAGCTGGAGACAGGAAAACACTAGTCTCGGATTCAGACAGTATTGGACCCATGCGCTGATGGAAATTGGGGCAGTACACGTGTTTGAGGTATTACAGCTGGCAGGGTCCAATCCTTGATGGAGGTAACATCAAATACATTAAGAACTTGCGTTTCCTGATATGCTAAAGATGTGCCCTTTGAGATATATATACACACACATGCACACACCCCCCCCCCCGGGACCTTATTCAAGTTTCTTC